AAATTAAAAAAAAAACAAAAAAGCAGAACAAGGCGGAAGATGAAAAAAAAATGAGAAATTTATAGTTGAAAACCAGAAAAATTGCACCTAGAAAAATTGAAAACAAAGAAATTTGAAAAATTGAAAAATTAAAAGTCAAAAAACTAAAGATGGCAAATTTTGAAAAAATGAAAATTAAAATGGAAAAATTGTAAAATCGAAACACTGCAAAATTGTTAAATTAAAAACTCGAAAAATTAAAAATCGAGAAACTAAAAATCGAAAAAACCCAAATATATTTTAATTTTTGTGTTTTTTTCGATTTTCAGTTTCTAAAACTCACAAAAGCGCAAAATTTTAATTTGGAAATTGAAAACCTAAAACACTGAAAAACTGAAAATCGGAAAAATACAAAATTTTTAAATTGAGAAATTGAAAATTTTAAAAATCCGTAATAGAAAAATCGAAAAATAGCAAAATAGTAATTAAAAATAATTGCAAAATTCAAATGTTGTAAAGTGGAAAAATTCAGATGTTTAAAATAGAAAACCAAAAAATTTGCTAAGCGAAAAACTAAAAAAAAAGTGAAATATTGAAAAAATCAAAATTGAGAAACAAAAAATCTAAAAATTAAAAATATGGATGCAAAATTTGAAAAATCTGAAAATTAAAATGTCTAAAAACTGTATAATGGTAAAATCGAAATTAATTAAAAATTAAAAATTCGATGAATTAAAGAAATAAAAAACTAAGAAATTGAAAAATTAAAAATTGACCATCTAAAAATCCAAAAAAAAAACTAAAATTAAAGTGTTAAAAATTATAAACATGAAAAATTTCAAAACAAAAATCGAAAATGGAATAACTGAAAAATAGGAAAAATTGAAATTTCAAAAACCGAAAAATTCAAAAGTTAAAGAGCAAAATATTGAAAAATTAGAAATCGAGAAGCTGAAAAATCGAAAATTAAAAGAATTGCAGATAGAAAAAGTGAAGACAAAGAAATTTGAAAAATTGAAAAATTAAAAGTCAAAAAACGAAAGTTGGCAAATTTTGAAAAAATGAAAAATTAAAATGCCTAAAAACGGAAAAATTGTAAAATCGAAACACTGCAAACTTATTAAACTGAAAATTTGAAAAACTAAAAATATTGAAATCGAGAATTTGAAAATTCGAAAAAACAAAATCGAATTCCAAGAAATGAAAAACTGAAAAATGAAAATCGAAAAAGAAAAAATCAGGAATTAAAATATCAAAAAATAATAAAAATCGAAAATACAGTAACTGGAAAATCATAAAAGAAGAAAATTTTAGAATCGAAAAATTTGCAAAATTGTCAAATTAAAAAAAAACGAAAATGAAAGAAATGAAAATTTGAAAAACTAAAAATCCAGAAGCTAAACATCTAAAAATGAAAAATTTCAGTCGAAAACCTAAACGGCGAAACTGTAAAAATCAAAAATTGAATAATTGCCAAAATCTAAAATTAAAAATCAAAGTGTTGAAAAATTAAAAATTGAGAAAGTGAAAAATCGAAAAATTACAAAATTGAAAATTCTAAGAAATTAAAAACTGAAAAATTAAAATCGAGAAACTTATAATCGAAAAAAGAAAAAATCAAAAATTAAAATAACAAAAAATTATAAAAACGAAAAATTGTAAATCAAAAAATCAAAAAATAGAATAACTGAAAATTTGTAAAAGAAAAAAATTTCAAATCGCAAAATTGAAAAATCGAAAAATTTTCAAAATTGTCGAATGAAAAAAAAAACAGAAATCAAAAAAACAAAAAATTTCAAAATAAATCAAAAACTTAAACAATCGAAACATGGAAAAACTGAAAAATCGGAAAAACGAAAAATCTAGAAATGGTGAAACTGTAAAATTCAAAATCGAGAAAGCGAAAAGTCGAATAATTGCGAAATTATAAAAATAAAAATCGAAAAATTAAAGAAATGAAAATTTTCGCAAACTAAATAATCGAAAAATGGAATAAATGAACAATTGGAAAAATATAAAATTTTAAAATTGGGAAATTGAAAAATTAAAAATCCATAAATTAAATAACTAAAAATGAAATTTTGAAAATTGAGGATATAAAATCGAAAAAAAAATAAAAATCATAAACACAAAAAATTTCAAAATAAAATCAAAAGCCGAAACAGTCGAAAATGGAATAACTGAAAAATCGAAAAAATAGAAAATTCAAAAATCGAGAAATTGAAAAATTAAAAATTAACGTATATGGAAAAATAATTATAAGTTGAGACGTTGAAAAATCAAAAAACAACAAAATGGAAAATTCCAGGAAATAAAAAACTGAAAAATTAAAATCGCGAAACTAAAATGTAAAAAAAACAAAAATTAAAATACATATCAAAAATTGTAAAAACCAAAAGTTCTAATTAAAAATCTTAAACAAAAATCAAAAACAGAATAACTGGAAAATTCTATAAGATCAAAAAATTTGCAAAATTGCTAAATTAAAAAAAACAAAAATTAAAGAAATGAAAATTTTCAAAATAAAAATCGAAAACCTAAACAATGCATAAATAAAAAAACTAAAAATGGGGAAACTGTAAAATTAATAATCGAGAAAATGAAAAATCGAATATTTGTGAAATTGTAAAATTAAAAAATCGAAAAATTTAAAATTGGAAAAATGAAAAATTAAAAATCCATATATTAAAGAAATAAAAAATTAAAAATTAAAAATTAAGAATCAAAAAATATAACTTAAAAATGGGAAAAGAGAAAATTGAAAAATTGGGAAATTGAAAAATTAAAAATCAAGGAATTGAAAAATTAAAAATCGAGAAATGAAAAATTAAAAATCGAAAAACAACAAATTCGAAAATTCCAAGAAATGAAAAACAGAAAAATTAAAATCGAGAAACTAAAAATCGCGAGAAAAAATATTAAGAATTAAAATATCAAAAATTATAAAAACGAAAAGTAAAGTAAAGTAAAAATCTAAAACAGAAAATTCAAAAATTGAAAACTCGAAAATTTGAAAAACTGTCAAATTTAAAAAACAAAAATCAAAGGGTTGAAAACAGAAAATCGAAAAATGATTCAAAAACTATAAAATTAAAAATCAGGAAAATGAAAGATCAAATAATTGCGAAATTAAAAAATTAAAAAATCGAAAAATCAAAGTAACGAAAATTTTCGAAATAAAAATGGAAAAACTTAATCGAAAAATGGAATTATCGAACCATGGGCAAAAAATCGAAAATTTAAAAAATCAGAAACTGAAAAATTTAAACTCCATAAAGGAATAATAAACGTAAAATTAAAAATCGAGAAGTTAAAAGTGGAAAAATATGGCGTAACTGTAAAATTAAAAGATCGAAAAACTAAAGAAACGAAAATTTTCAAAACAAAATTCTAAAACCTCAATAATTGAAAAATAGGATAATTGATAAAACGGAAAAATATAAAATTCAAAAATTGAGAAATTCCAAGAAACGAAAAATTGAGAAATTAAAATCGAGAAGCTTTAAATCAAAAACGAAAAAATCAAAAGTGAAAATAACAAAAAATGATTGAAACGAAAAATTGCCAAATAAAAATCTAAAATAAAAAATCAAAAAATTGAATAACTGAAAAATCATAAAAAACAGAAAATTCAAAAATCGAAAAATGTCTGAACATTATCAAAAAGAAAAACTGAAAAATTTAAAAACCTAACATGTAACTGCAACAGCGAAAAAGCGGAAAGTATAGGGAACGAAAACGTTGGAAAATCGAAAAATTTCAAAACTTAATGAAAACTAGCAAAATTGCAAATTGAAAAATTAAAAAAACGAATGATCGAAAATTCGAAAAATTAAAAATCTTGAAATTAAAGATCTAAAAGAAAAATAGAAAGACTGTAAAATCATAAAATTGAAAAAATGGAAAAACTTAAAATTGAAGTTGAAAAATCAAAAAATTCATAAAAAACCAAAAAAATTTGCAAAATTGTAAACTTAAAAAGCCCAAAAATTAAGAAATGAAAAATCGAAAAATTAAAAACTGAGAAGCAAAAAATCGAAAAAGTAACTAAAAATCGTATATATTAGAAAAACTGAAAAATCTAAAAATCGCAAAAATCTTAAAATTTAAGAAACGAAAACTTTTTTTAACCTCCATTCTTTCAGTTTTAAGTTCGTTCACACTTCCAAACAAAGAAAAGCACACACGTGGCGATGTTAGAGAAACAAGTTTTGAAAAAGAATCAAAAAGAAAAAAAAGTAAAAACAACAAACTACTAAAAACATCATTGTCATGCATGATCTCTGAACAGAAGACCTCTGGCATAACCGAAACGGCTAGATCTCCCAAAAATAGCCTGTGCGCTGAGCAGATGGCCCAGCCCTCTGAACCCCCAAAACCCTAACCCTTTCGGTTAATTCTCGCCCTTTTGGACTCTCGTACACTGTATGCACACAAGCCATTGCACCGTCGCAGCCACATAAATTTGGCTCGCATTAATACTGTTATGAAAGCGGAGGAATTTAATCTGAATCTTGTCCGTTAGTTGCGGCTATTAATCCAGTGTCTGTCGCGTTCCCACTAACACATCCTGGAATCGCGCCAGACAGCGCTCCGAAATTACAGAAAATCGAAACACGTTGTACAATATCCCGCGTATGTGAAGTACGAGAGTGTTAATTGGAATGGTGACCCCATATCGGCAATCCGGCCGCACTTTACGACTTCTTTCCTCCTTGTAAAAAAAGAAATATCAGAGCCGAGGGAATTTACTAGGATTGTTTGGCGGCCGCTCAATACTCCATTGTTTCGAAATAGACGCCGGGATGGATTAATTATTCGGGAAGAAATTTTAAATGCGGCGTGTAGTTGTTGGGTAGCCGCACGAGAACTGACAAATTTCCTTTTTTTTCTTCCTTGTGCGTGGCCATCCATCATTCTTGGCAGCCCAATCCGCGACTAAATCATCTCGATTCCTCTCTTCCTGTCTAAATCCATTTTTCCATTTTATACACCTAAAGTTTGGGTTGTTTTTCTTCCAGAACTGCTCGTCGGCGCATTTCGTCTCGGATCGGCTGCAGGGGTTCGGGGAGGCGAGGTATCCCACACCAAATACTGGTAAGACGTCTTATTCCTTTCTAAGAATATCTTGTCGAAATTCTAAAACTTTTTTTTATTTCGGTTTTTCTCCGTTTACTGAACAGATGGAGTTGTAAAAGTGCGTAATGTTCACGTGATCTTTTCAAACCAATAGTTTTCACACAGCTCAACACATGATACGCACGTGATCAGTCCATCTGTTCGATGAACGGTCTATAATTTCATGGTTGGTTAATGTTTCATAACCCCTATAACCTATCCAAATGAACCAATATAATAAGAATCAAACATCAAAAAAGTTGAAAATCTAGATAGAAAAATTGCATATTGAAAAATAAAAAAATCAAAAAATTAAATACTGAATAAGTTGAAAATAAGAAAAAATTCCAAGTTCGTAAAATTAAAAAACTGGAAATTCCGATGATTTAGAAAACGAAAAAGTTAAAAAAAATAAAAAATGAAAAATAAAAAATTGAAAAAACGAAAAATTGTAAAATGAAACATCGAAAAATGCCTGAAATGAAAGAAATATCGAAAAATTGAAAAATTCTTGCAACAATGAAATATCGAAAAATTAAAAATCGGGAAACTAAAAACGTAACAAACGAGAAATAGAAAATCGAAAAATAGCAAAATTTAGAAATTAATCGGAAAATTTAAATCAGAAAACATTTCAAATCGAAATATTGAAACATCGTAAAATTCAAAATTCAAAAATTTGAAAATCAAGTAACTGAAAAACCGAAAACTGAAAAATCGATAATTTGAAAAAAAGAAAAATTATAAATAATAGAAACAACCGAAAATCTCAAAATTGAAGAAAAAATCGCAAAACTTAAAAATCCGAAAATTATAAATCAAGAATTGAAAAAACAGAAAAACTGAAAATTCCAAAAATTGAAAAATAAATTTAAAACAGAAAATTGAGAAAAATTGTAAATGGAAAAATTAAAAAATTGAAAAATAAGAACAATTAAAAAATCGAAGAGTTAAAAAACAAGAAAAGAAAATTGGAATACTGAAAAATAGAAAAATGCAAAGTCGAAAAATCTAAAAACTGAAAACTGAAAACTGGAAACATTGCAAATCAGAAAACTAAAGCACCGAAAAATTGAAAATTCCATTTATTAAAAAATCGGAAAATTGAAAAACTAGAAAATGTAAAAATTAAAAAATCGAGAATTTAGGAATCCAAAAATTGAAAAACGGAAAATTGTAAAATGAAACACTGAAAACCTCGATTGAAGAAATGGAAAAATCAAAAATTGAAGAAATGCAAAAATCAAAAATTGAAAAATTTAAAATTAAAAAATTGTAAAAACGAAAAATTGTAAAATTGAAACACTGAAAAATCTTATAATTGAAAAAAATTGAAAAATTGAGAAATCAAAAAATTGAGAAATCAAAAAATTGAAAAATAAAAAACTGAAAAATTAAAAAATTGAACAATTGAAAATTGGAAAATCGGGAAATTGAAAAACCAAAAAATTAGAAAATCCAAAACCAAAAATCAAAAAATTTGAAATTGAAGTAACGAAAAATAAAAAAATTCAAAATTCAAAAATCCAAAATCGAAAAGTTTTAAACTGAAAATGTAAGTGGACAAATTGAAGAAACAAAAAGTTGAAAAATCGAAAAGTTAAAAAATAAGAAATGAAAATTAGAACAAATACTGAAAAATGAAAGATTGAAAATTCCAAAAATCCAAAAATGCAAAAATCGGAAACATCGTGAAAAGAGACAAAAAAATGCACAATCGAAACATTTAAAACTGAAAAACCGAACAATTAAATATCCAGGGATTACAGAAAGTAAAAACTGCGAAATAAAATTCGAAAAACAAAAAAAAAACAAAAGAGACAATTGAAAAAACGAAAAATGTAAAAATTAAAAAATCGAAAAGTAAAAAAAGAAACGAAAATTGGAATACGGAAAAATCGAAAAATTTAAAATCAAAAAATTGTAATATCAAAAATTGAGAAATCAAAAAATTGAAAAATAAAAAACTGAAAAATTAAAAAATTGAACAATTGAAAATTGGAAAATCGGGAAATTGAAAAACCAAAAAATTGGAAAATCCAAAACCAAAAATAAAAAAATTTGAAATTGAAGTAACGAAAAATAAAAAGATTAAAACTTCAAAAATCCAAAATCGAGAAGATTTAAACTGAAAACATTTTAAAATCGAAATATTGAAGAAATGAAAAATTGAGAAAATCGAATATTTAAAAATCAAAAAAACGGAAAATTAAAAATCGAAAAACTAAAAATTCCAAAAAATGGAAGACAAATTCAAAACAGAAAATTGAGAAAATTGGAAATGGACAAATTGAAGAAACAAAAAATTGAAGAATCGAAAAGTTAAAAAACGAGAAATGAAAATTGGAACAGGTACTGAAAAATCGAAAACTGAAAAATCGAAAACTGAAAAATCCAAAAATCCAAAAATGGAAAAATCGAAAACATCCTGAAGAGAGACAAAAAAATGCTAAATCGAAATATTTAAAACTGAAAAACCGAAAAATTAAATGTCCAGGGATTACAAAAATTAAAAAATGCGAAATAAAATTCGAAAAACAAAAAAAAAAGGGATAATTGAGAAAACGAAAAATGTAAAAATTAAAAAATCGAAAAGTAAAAAAACAAGAAACGAATATTGGAATACTGAAAAATCGAAAAATTGAAGAATCGAAAAGCTGAAAAATGAGAAATGGAAAATCGCAAAACTAGAAATTGTAAAAACTGAAAAATCGAGAATTGAGAAATCCAGAAATTGAAAAACGGAAAATTGTAAAACAAAACACTGAAAACCTCGATTGGAAAAATGGAAAAATCAGAAAATGGAAAAATTGAAAATCAAAAAATTGTAATATCAAAAAATTCAAAAATAAAAAACTGAAAAGTTAAAAAATTGAACAATTGAAAATTGGAAAATCGGGAAATTGAAAGATCAAAAAATTGGAAAATCCAAAACCAAAAATAAAAAAATTTGAAATTGAAGTAACGAAAAATAAAAAAATAAAAAATTCAAAAATCCAAAATCGAGAAGATTTAAACTGAAAACATTTTAAAATCGAAATATTGAAGAAATGAAAAATTGAGAAAATCGAAAATTTAAAAATCAAAAAACGGAAAACTAAAAATCGAAAAACCAGAAATTCCAAAAAATGGAAGACAAATTCAAAACAGGAAATTGAGAAAATTGCAAATGGACAAATTGAAGAAACAGAAAATTGAAAAATCGAAAAGTTAAAAAACGAGAAATGAAAATTGGAACAAGTATTGAAAAATCGAAAATTGAAATATCCAAAATCCAAAAACACAAAAATCGAAAACATCGTGAAAAGAGACAAAAAAATTCAAAATAGAAACAAATAAAACTGAAAACTAGAAACATTGAAAGTGAAAAATGGAAAAATTAAATGTCTAGAGATCATAAAAACTACTAAACTAAAAAATGCAAAATAAAATTCGAAAAACAAAAAAAAAAACAAATGGGATAATTGAGAAAACGAAAAATGTAAAAATTAAAAAATTGCTACACTGAAAATTTAAAAAAATTGGAAAATCAATTATTGAAAAACTAAAAAACAAAAAATCGGGAAAGTAAAAATGGTACATTTCAGAAAAAATCGAAAAATTACAAAATTATAAAATTCAAAAAAGTAGAAAAATCGAACATTTTAAAATTTAAAATCACAAAAATTTAAAACTGATAAATGTAAAATTGAAAACTTTGAAAAATCCAAATGGAAAAATTTGAGAATCGAAAAATTGAAAAGTCGGAAAATTAAAATCCAAAAATTGAAAAAAATGGGAAATTGAACAAACCAAAAATTGGAATATCAAGAGAATGAAAAAACAAAAATTGTACAATTGAAATACTGGAAAGTCCCAAAATTGAAAAAAATTTAAAAAATTCAAAAAATTGAAAAATCAAAAAATTAAAAAATCGTAAATTGAAAAACGAAAAATTGTAAAACTTAAAAATTGAAAAATAAAAGACTGGAAAATCGGGCAGTTGAAAAACAAAAAAAATTAAAAATCGAAAACTGAAAAAACTCACAATTGAAAAAAATTTGGAAAAATTGAAAAAAAAAATCGAAGAATTATAAACTCGAAACAGTGAAAAATCTTGCAATAAAAAAAATTGAGAAAATGAATATGGAGAAACTGAAAAATTGAGAAATCAAAAATTGAAATTTTAAAAAGATTATAAAACAGAAACTTGTAAAATTGAAACACGGAAAAATCTTACAATTGAAAAAAAATCGAAAAATTGAGACATCAAAAAATTGAGAAATCAAAAAATTGAAAAATTAAAAATTAGAAAATCGGGAAATTGAAAAACCAAAAAATTGGAAAATCCAAAACCAAAAATCAAAAAATTTGAAACTGAAGCAACGAAAAATAAAAAAAATTAAAATTCAAAAATACAAAATCGGAAAGTTTTAAACCGAAAACATTTTAAAATCGAAATATTGAAGAAATGAAAAATAGAGAAAATGGAAAATTTAAAAATCAAAAAAATGGAAAATTAAAAATCGAAAAACTAAAAATTCCAAAAAATGGAAGACAAATTCAAAACGGAAATTGAGAAAATTGCAAATGGACAAATTGAAGAAACAAAAAATTGAAAATCGAAAAGTTAAAAAACAAGAAATGAAAATTGGAACAAGTACTGAAAAATCCAAAATTGAAATATCCAAAAATCCAAAAATGCAAAAATCGAAAACATCGTGAAAAAATACAAAAAAAATCAAAATCGAAACATTTAAAACTGAAAACTAGAAACATTGAAACTGAAAAATCGAAAAATTAAATGTCTAGGGAATAGAAAAACTAAAAAATGCAAAATAAAATTCGAAAAACAAAAAAAAAACAAATGGGATAATTATTAAGAAAACGAAAAATGTAAAAATTAAAAAATTGATACACTGAATATTAAAAAAAATTGGAAAATCAATAATCCCAAAACTAAAAAACAAAAAATCGGGAAAGTAAAAACATACAATTCA